GGGGGGGGGTGACCTGGGCAGTCACGCTGGCCCTTTCCTGTCCTCACTAATAGCACCACAGTTTCTACGACTTCATCGTCACCAAGGCCAGAGGGAAGAGCGGTGAGTGGGCTCCACCGTCCCCCAAGCCCCTGGAGGCAGCCGGCCGCTTGGCGGTGACCCAGGGTCCTATTTCCCTGCAGGACCACTCTTCAATTTTGACGTTCACGATGATGTGCGGCTTCTGAGTGATGCCACCGTGGAGAAGGACGAGGTACCAAAGGCGGGGGCCTGTCCGCGGGATGGGGGCAGATGGCTGGGCTCGGCTCGGCTCTGAGCAGCCTCCACTGCCTGCGCTCTGCAGTCGCACGCCGGCAAGGTGGTGCTCAGGAGCTGGTATGACAAGAACAAGCACATTTTCCCGGCCAGCCGCTGGGAGCCCTACGACCCCGAGAAGAAGTGGGACAAATACACGGTGAGCAGGAGCTGGGGAGGGGGCACGACCCTGGGCTGGCCCGCCTCACTGCCCGTCCCTGCTAATCTCGCTTTCCTTCTGGCCGCACCCTCACTCCAGATCCGGTGAGCCGTCTCCGCTCTCCAGCTCCCCTCCAGCTGTGTCCCGGTTCCCAGGACTCCAGGCAGCCCTTCCTACCCCCCCACCCCCACCCCACCTCTGAGACTGGCTGTGTTGGCCCTGCGGTGGCCTTGGGGGACAGGGCTAGGTGGCAGGAGCTGCTTTGTTTTTGACAATAAAGAATGTCCTTGTCACAGCTGGGCTTTGCATGGTGAAGAAGTCTGTGTTTTGTCCTTACATTTTTTTGGTTGCGATCAAATTCACATCCCATAAAAGCCACCATTTGCGACCATTTCCAAGTGCCCAGTCCAGCGGCATTCAGTCCCCTCTCAAATCCCACATCATGAACGCCCTTGGCCTGGATCCGTGGCTGCCCCTTGCCTGAAGTACCTGCTTAAAGGGAATGACTTTACACTGACCCCACCCACCTTTCCTTGACCTTGGGCTTCCCGATATGTACCTGCTGAGGGGCCATCAGCAGTTAGGGGTGGGGTGGGGAAATGGAAGGGAAACCTGAGACCATGAATGGAACCTTTCGTAGGGTTCCCAGCAACCTAGAGGGGAATTGTCTGCCCCCCTGGGCCCCCCTCCCTTTGAGAAGAAGAGCAGAAACGGATCGAAGTCCTAGTCTTTGTTCTCCAGAGCTGCTATCACGGAAAGACCATGAGCCGACATGTGTTCTCCCTTCAGCCTCTGTAGACCCAGCATCCCTGGGAGAGTGCCATGTAGCCACGTGTCTCGGGTCTAGGAGCTTCTGGAGTGGCGCTATAGGATAAGCATTGGACTGCAGTTCAAACCCACCAGCGAGGTCACTATGAGTCCGAACTGACTGGGTAGCACTTAGCGATAGCAAGCGCTTCACAGTGTAGGGGTCCAAAGGATGCACTTCACTCCGGCTCTTCTGTCTTGGATGGTATTAGGTCCCTGGGAGCTTTGCTTGTCTGTTTAATCTCTTTTATATTTCAAAAAGAGATGGATCAACATAAAAGCTAATCCTGTAGATTGCATCTGAGCTCATTAACATGACGAAGCAGTGCTAAGGAGCATTCTGGCTGGACTTCTTCCAAGACAGATTATTTTGTTCTTCTGGCAACCCGTGGTACTTTCAATATTCTCCTCCAGCACCATAACTCAAATGCATTGACTCTTCTCTGGCCTTACCTTTTCATTGCCCAACAAACACCATGGCTTAGGTCTGGTGTACCTTAGTCCTCAACCTCTTTGCTCTTGAACACTTCAAAGAGGGTTATTGCGGCAAATTTGCGTAATGCATTACTTTGGATTCTTGACTGCTACTTCCATAGGCATTGTGTATTCAAGCAAAACGGAGTCTGAAGGCTGTAGTCTTTATCATTAAATATTTCAAGTCCTCTTCCCTTCCATCAAGGCAAGGTTGTATCACCTGCATATGGCAGGTTGCTAATGAGTCTTCCTCCAATCCTGATGCCACATTCTTCTTCATATAATCCAACTTTTCAAATTCTTTGAATAAGTATGGTGAAAGGATACAACCCAGGCACACATCTTTGCTGATTTTAAACCATTCACTGTTCCCTGTTCTATTCCAATGAGTGCTTCTTGGTCTGTGCACAGGTTCCTCATGAGCACATTGAAGTTATGATCCACACAATCGAAAGCCTTTGTGTAGTCAGTAAAGCAAAGGTAAACATCTTTCTGGTATTCTCTGCTTTCAGCCGAGATCCATCCGATATCAGCAATGATATCCCTTGTTCCACGGCCTCTTCTGAATCCGGCTTGAATTTCTGGCCAATGTACTGCTGCCACCGTTTTTCAATTATCTTCAGCCAAAGTTTACTTGCATGTGATATTGGTATTACTCGATGATTTCCGCGTTCTGTTGGAATGGGTGCAAATATGGATCTCTTCCAATCGGTTGAGTGGGTAGCTGTCTTCCAAATTTCTTGACATAGACCAGTGAGCGCCTCCAGTGCTGTATCAGTTTCTTGATACATTTCCATTTGTATTCTGTCAATTCGCCAGGGCTTTCCGTGCAGCTTAGATACTTCATCCATTAAGAAGCCACAATCCTACCAGATCTTGATCATATGGAACCTCTTGAAATGATTGGACATTGATGGAATTTTTTTTTTTTTACAGTGATTATATTCCTTCTATCTTCTTTTGATGTTTTCTGCATCATTCAGTATTTGCCCAGTCCTTCAGTATTCCAACCTTGAATTTTCCTTCAGTTCTTTCAGCTTGAGAAATACTGAGCATGTTCTTTCCTTTTGGTTTTCTAACTCCAGGTCTTTGCACATTTCATTATAATACTTGACTCTGTCTTGAGCTGTCTCCCCACCCTTGAAAAATTTCAGTTCAACTCTTACTTCTTCATTTCTTCCAGTCACTTAAGCTTCTCTACGTTCAAGATAAAAGTTTCATCAGAGTCTCTTCGGACATCCATTTTGGTCTCTTCCTTCTTTCTTGTCTTCTTAATGATCTTTTTTGCTGTCTTCCTCGATGATGTTCTTGATGTCATCCCACAACCCTTCTGGTCTTTAGTGGCTAATGCCTCAAATCTGTTCTTGAGATGGTCTCTAAATTCAGGCAGGATAAGTTCAAGGTCATATTTTTGGCTCTTGTGGACTTGTTTTCATTTTCAGCTCTAGCCTGAGTTTACATGTGAGCAATTGATGGTGTGTTCCACAGTCTGTCCCTGGCCTTGTCTTGATCTTAAACTTCTCCTTGGCCTCTACCTATAGATGGAGTCCATTTGATTCCTGTGTATTCCTCTGGTAAGGTCCATGTGTATAATTGCTGTTTATGTTATTGAAGAAGATATTTGTTATGAATAAATCATTGGTCTTACAAAATCCTATCATGCGATCTCCAGCATCATTTCGATTACCAAGTCATATTTTGCGATTAATGATCCTTCCTCTTTATTTCCAACTTTCATATTCCAATCACCAGTAATTATCAATACATCCTGTTTGCAGGTTTGATCAATTTCAGACTGAAGAAGCTGGTAGAATTCTTCAGTTTCATCATTATTGGCTTGAGTAGTTCCTGTGTAAATTTCAATGGTCTTCCTTGAAGGAGTATGGCTATTACCCTATCACACACAGCATTGCACTTCAAGAAAGATCTTGAAATGCTCTTTTTGACAATGAATGCAACACCATTCCTCTTCAGTTTATTGTTCCCAACATAGTAAACCATATGATTGTCTGACTCTAAATGGCCACTACCAATCCATTTCAGCTCACTAGTGCCTAGGGTAGAGATCTTTATGTGTTCCATTTCATTTTGGACTACTTGTAATTTTCCTAGATTCATACTTTGTACATTCCACTTTGTTCTGGTTCTGAATGGATGGATGTTTGTAGCTGTTTCTTCTCACCTGAGGGCTCACTTTCCTGCATTATATCAGCGAGTGTTGTCCCACTGGTCATAAGGTTTTTAGCAGCTAGCCACTCAGAAGTGGTCCACCTCTCCTTCCTAGTCTAAGTCTGGCAGCTGCTGAAATCGGTCCACCACGGGTGACCCTGCTGCTAATTACAATCGTGGTGGCATAGCTTCCAACATTACAGCAACACACAAGCCACCACAGTATGACAAAGTGACAGAAGTGAGGACATAGGAGAATTACGTCAGATCCGAGCGGATGACATCAGGTCACATCGTGGGGGTGATTACGGCATCTGAGAAGCCTGGCTCAGCCAAGTTGACAAGATTCTTGCACTATCTCAGTCCTGATGCCTGTATCTGTCACTGTGACCTTGCGGATTGAGTCTTTGAAGATGTTAATCATTAATATGAGGTCAAGCCCACCTGAGTGGTAGTCTGTGGAAGAGAAGAGCTGCAGAGACCCAGGGAAGCCAGCCATTAGCTCATGAAGGTGGACTCTGGTGGTGTGATGACCCTGCCCACAGCCTGACGTCTGACAGAGAATAATCCACTCCTGGTGTGTTATAAGGTCAGGGTCTGCACTGAGGAGATGCTGAGAGAGGAAGGCCTCCACTCCCTGTGCCCACAGCCCCTGGTGTGTGTGTGTGTGTGTGTGTGCACGCGTGCATGTCTGTGTGTGGAAACCTAGACAACACAGAGGGAAGAAAACAAGCAAGATGAGGCCGCCTTTCTGGTGAGGTGATCTTTCTTCAGGCAGAGGGAACAGAACGGCCAGTGTGAAGGGAGGGGACAGAGGAGAGGGAGGCGGGGAGGGCCTGGGAGACCTAGGGGAGGGGTGTGCTTCTTCTCTTTTTGATCATTAATTGTGCAGTTCCGCATCAGTAATGTATGCACATGCTTCACACCTCAGCAGGAAAAGGCCGACTTGGAGATGCCTGTTTCCAGGTCAGATCACTTGGGTTTGTCTCCCTCCCATCGTCCTCTGTTTCTGCAGAGGCCAGCAGGGCGGAGACGACACCCTTTCCTCTCACATCCTGCACTAAGGCGTACTGTTCTGCACCTCAGTTGTCACCTAGGATGGAGTCGGAACAGCCTCCGGGTCTTTCCATATGGGGCACAAAGTCTCCTCATTCTTTCTATTTTAAGCTGCTGAGAGAAGAGTCTAGATATTGGACTGGGACCATTTTGCAGCTCCACCTGCACTGGGAGAAGGGAATGGTGCTGTCACTCCATGGTGCAAGGGGGACATGAGCCATTTTAAAAGTGTCCAGTTCAGTGGTGTTTCCTACACTCCCAATATACTACACAACGCTTCTATGTAGTTCCATGACATTTTCATCACCCCAAAAGGAAAGCTTGTACTCACTCTCTTTTCTGCCTCGATTAGTTTACCTCTTCTGGACATTTATCTTTTCACATGTTTATCAACCTATGCATTTCTTCTACAGCAAACTACCTGGTCTTGTCATTTGCCTATGAAGTGTTTTATTGTGAATTATGTGATAGTTTACATGGGAGAACATTAGTTTTACATTCATCCAATCATATATTGTTTCATTGCATTGGTTACAATCCACTCCATGAATCATCAACCAACCAAAGGGTTCATCCTACAAGCCTGCCCCCCCCCCCC